ATTGTAAAAAATATTTATTTTGCTATTTCAGTATTCAAATAGAATTGTAACGGACGAATAGAATTCTTTTTAAATTATGTTTTAATTTCGTTGATATATAGAAGGATTGTATTACAATTTAAGCATGGCAACACTTAAAACAATGAGAGCACACTTGTTAATAATGCACGTCAGTAAGACTAAGAGTAATTTGAACCGTCATTTGTCATAGTTAAAACCGATGGCGACACGTTTGCTGTTTTAACTGGGTCGTCGGAAATCGATATAAGAGACTAACTTCATTTATTATTTTACTCCCTGGCAACTGAGGATTTATAAAAAATAAATTAAAAGAACGTCCTATAGTACATCGTAATTGATTTATTTATCTAATATAAGTTATATTAACTCATTAATATCAAAGTGTGTCATTACAGTTGTATGTGTGTCACGTCTTTCCCTAGATCAATATAGTAAATCGCTTCTAGAGTTCGTAATACATCTCGCATGTCAGATCACATTAGATTCATACAAGACATAATTATATTAAGCGCCACATCTGTCTCACTATGTTCGATGGTGTCGCCATCTTCGTTCGATCGATACGTATAAATCTGAACAGCCCGACATACATTCATATGACCGGGTCGAAGGGTCAATTAAACGGACGGTCTATTTCCATATATAGCAGCAGCTTATATAAATTGCATTCATCATTTTTCTATTATTATAAAATATTTAAGGTAACAAAGCTATTTTCAAAATAGCTACGTAGTTGATTGACGTTTGACAATCGACGGTAACATCTCATCCACGGGAACGGACGTAAAAGGAATGAAGTTACATATGAAATGTGAATATCATGTTTGTATCGAAACAATATTTTATAATATATTTATATATGATAAATGTTATTAAGAGAATTTACTTAAAGTAATTAAGTGATGATATAAACGACAAGTTAATATATGGCAGTGTTTTTCAAACTTTTTGATATCGCGACCCATTTACGGATAGTAATTTTTGGCGACCCCCTTGTGCTATAGACAGGTAGGGAAATTCTTAAATTAAAAGTCTAAAGATATATTAAAGTTAAAGACATTCTCTGCAATGGTGAACATCAAAACAAAAACGAGAAATAAACTTCAATTACAAGTTATTTTGATAGTTAATATTTCAAAAACAGCACGACGACTTGACATGCTTTGGAAAAATAAACAAGCCCATCCTTCTCATTATAATTAGGTTCTTATTATGATGTAGAACTTCACCTTTTTTTTTGCCGGCGACCCCCCGAATAAGTCATCGCGACCCCCCCCCCCTAAGGGTCGCGACCCACAGTTTGAAAAACACTGATATATGGTAACACAATTAGATTGTTTCTTGAATTTAAAGAAAGAGATCTTTTGGTTGCGGCAATAATGTATAAAAATAGATATTAAAATAAATACCGTAATGATAATAATTATACATATTACATAAGTATCTATATAATACATATTTGTATAATGAGAATACTGGGCGGATCGCTAGTGTATAAATATAACAGTATGTCAACAATGCCTAATCTGTGTCTAAAGTACGTCAACCTCTTGTGGTTATCACTGAGTTATGCACTCTCAAGGTCAATTGACTTTTGTCTAATTTGATTGATCACATTACAAGAAATCTCTCATAAATGTAAAATTAAACCTACGATGTGTTGATCAAGTTGAAATCCTAATTCGGTTTTGTATAATCATAACTTTATTCAATGTCTTATTTAGTACTAAGTTCCACGACTATCATAAGCGTAATCACTATGAGTATTCACAGATATTTTGAGTGTTAAAACTTCACACATTACAGCTCTGTGTAGATTTGAAATTGAATTACTAGTAAAAATATTGTTACCAAGTCTTCAAGGAAAACTAATGACAGAATACACTTTGTGTAGGCGATTATCAATCGAGTTTTACCAAAAAATTGGATAAAAATACTCGTATTTCTCGTCGGACAAGTATCGAGATATTACTCTAAACGGGTATCGGGAGTTATAAAATAAATAATTAAGCAAAAGGACATAAAGGAAAGGTATAAAAATATTTATTGGTATATATTTTTATGAGCCTTGTAAATCTGTTTGTGGATGTCATTTTAAATTCGCACACTAATGTAACACTCATGGAAGTGTGTGAAGGTGGCCAGCTCTCTATTCCGAACGTGTCGGGACTCCGAATGGGAGCGTGTGACACGTCGCGGAACAAATTAATACAAAATATATCATAAGTGACATAAACATATCGCAAAGCAAAACAGATATCATTTTGAAAGCATATAGTATGTTGTTAATGCACACATAGTTAGTACATCGTGTTGTATAATATATAACTGTTCATTGAATTCACCGTAATGTCCGATGGAGCTATAAACATCGCGTATGATATACCTTATAGGAAACCTGTTCACAGACTGTACGACTGAGCTTTGTGGCGGCGATTCATTCTCCAGAAAGGTCTCTAAATTTAAACGTGTCATGTGTGTGTGTGTGTGTGTGTGCGTGTGCGCGCGTGTGTGTGGGTGTGTGTTACCTGTGCATGGGCTGTGTCCTCTGTGAGTACTGCGCCATGTGACCGCGCGCATGGCTAGTGGCGCGCGCGCATGCCGACGCGCTAGCCTCGCATCACAACACACTACATTCACGACACAACCCTACACCACCTGCGACAACAGAACAATATTAGAAACACTGAACCGATCTATTAAACGAGAACCGATTCACACCTATTTATAATGCCTGAATCTTAAAAGTCTTACACTGGGCAATATTTAGAATGTGTTTTTTATTCGATCAAAATGTACCAAGGAATCTACAGTCAAGTAAGGTATAGTATAGAAGTATTTTAAGAGTATACTATCTATATTTTCTCAAATAACAACCAAAACCCAAGTAAGTATGCTATCCCCCGTCAAGTGTAGTGAGTCAGTCAGTATAATAGTTACGAGGAACGTTTTCTCGTCCTATATTAATGTATTCGGACAAGTAATAAACCAGTTGGATCTGTTCATAGCCCCGATCGCTGCGAGCTACATGGAGCTCCTACCTCCTACCTACATGTTTGACGAGAAACTGCCAGAAGTTTCTAGAACAACTACAACTTAACGTTAATTTTTCCAAGTTTCATTATTACAATATAATTTACTCAAGCCCGCCTACGACTAATTATAACAGAGCCGCGGGGACTTTTTGCGATTTAAGACGAAATAAAATAAATAAAAAAAAATATTCCGTCTGTTTTAATAACATAATTATGTATATTAGGTTTCATGAAATCGATAGTATAGAGTGGTTCAAATGACAACATTATTTTATATATGAGAGGATATAATCGAAATTAGCATGTTACAATGTAAAATGAACAAACCTACTATTTAAATTTAAAAAATCACGTCGTCCTTTAAGTTGTTTGTAAAAAGACATAAAATTCAACAAAACCACCAAAGCGTTATATGTAATCTATTCATTCTTGTCACTCCCACGGAGATGTAATGAAACAAAATTAATAGTTTAAGAGAAGTATGTAACACGCTAATACTTTTATTTTTCATCATCGCATAAAAGAATTGCCTTCCTATGGAGCAGCTATCCTATATGAGTCCGTACATTGAAATCAGCGGTTGTATGCTGGCGGGCTGCCAGATGTACGATTCTTTCATTTTATGTCTATATCTGCATGTGCTGGTAATTGCTGCGTCTCAGGAATTCGGAATACAAAGTGGCATTTACATAATTTTATGTAATATTTTTATTGTTCGATGTATTGTTATTATTGACCTAAATTGTGAACTATTCGGACAGAACTAAACTATAGAGACAAAAAAAAAGTGATTATAATAAAAAGAGCATTCAACATGTTTATACTTTATATTGCATTAGTTATAAGTTAATGTTGAAGCACATGTTTTATTTTATTTATTAATTTACCCTCAATTAGAACTTGTATAAAATGAAACAAAGAAAATTGGAATAATCAATATGAAGCGTGATATGTTTCAATATGAAGTAATAATTAATCAAAAGTTTAAATTAATTAAGAATTACTTTCAAATTTATCTCGTTGATTACTGTATTGAAATATAGATTTCGTAAATAAAATAAATATAAAACATAAAAGTCAAGAGACGAATTTATTTGCTATCGAATTAATAATTTCATATAAATACGCGTTTTGCTTCAATCATTGATTAATCTAATGACGCAATACAGCGGAAAATCCAATTGGTTATAATTAAAATAATTCGATTATAACATTACGTATGTTATTTAAGTAGGTGTACATTTTAAGAAATGTGATACTATCTTTATGTTACATCGAGGTCAGGCACTTTATGTGACAGAATTTTCTATTACTATCTGTTTAACATTGTTGGAATATAATTCTATGATTAATTCATTTGGATGGGCTTTAATATTTAGTTCAGCTATTAAGTGTTGTGTATTTTAGATCTTTGATTGTGGTAGTGAGAGGCGCAGCGCTAGGCCGTAGCCTTGTGGCTTGTAGGCCTAAACGGTGAACGGCTTGGCTCTCGCTACTGCATACCATTTACCATACTCCATAAATTATAAAAACACAGTTTGAAAATATGATAAGTAAGAGATAAATTTATTAAAAGATACGCTTATCATCTTACGTAAGATTATTTCTGTTCATTTCACACAAACCATGAGGTCTGACATCGTTACGCAGTTAGGTAACCCACTACCTTTCTTATGAAAAATAACACGAAAAAAGATTCTTTTGCACCTCAAAAAGACAAAGCAATAGCTAGTAAATACAATTAAATGCTACGAAAAGGAATATATAACTCACCTTTAAGCTTAAATCCGTTACAAAATCTTCAAACGGGACCCGACACGGTACTCACAAGCAAGGGTACGAATAAGACACTTTGATAACACAAATTTTTAGTAAACGAATTGCTCAACACCACTTCCTTCAATTTTCTTACAAAGCAAGGCGTTTTTCACCTTAATTGATACGCTAGATGTTTTCGAAAAGTCCATTGAACCGACTCGATGGAAATTTACGTCCAGCGAAATCATAAGTACGAAGTGGCATCGGTGTACATAGACGTGCTGTGCGTTTGACGGCGCTGCCGCCAGGCGGCGCGTCATGCGCGAGAGGCGGAGCCTCGGCCGCGGTGGGGCCGGGGAGGCCTAGAGAGAGATAGCGGCAACGCGACGCCACAGGACACGGGCCACGTTGCAACACTTATGTTATATCACGGCTTTACTTATGATATCTATATGAGAACGGATTGTTTACATGCAAGAGACTTTGGCGAATGGCGTCAGGGGGTACGCGTCGTTCTGACCTTTGCTATATCGCGTCACCGCGGGTGGCTGTAAGTTGTAACACGATGTCGTCGTCGAGTGCGGGCTGCGACGTTGCCAAGCCACGACGACATTCGTCTTTACGTTTTCCACGCATTACGAAAGAGTCGACTGGATCTGCTGTTCACAGATCTATCTGATTATAGCCAGGTCCCCAGCATGATGTCAGACAGCACATGCACATGCTCATGCACTCTCAGACGGCCGCGTCTCACTCGCTGCTCGCATGACATCGACGGCGGTGCCATGATAATAGATTTCGTGTTCTATTAATTAAAGGCACGTCGATGCAATTATCTGTCTGTGTTATATCAATGCTGGACGCGTATAGATTACATTGTAACAAGCGACCCATTGTCTGTTATGATGCTCGACTATCTCTAATTTACAGAAATACTTGCTGGTCTTCCGATATTGTATATAATTATTAATACAATTAGTTTAAAAACCTAAATAAGGTCCATTAATAATTTCCTCGTGATAACATAAATGTCGCTCTTACTTAATAAAGAATTATAAAAATTTTATTTTTAAAATAATCATTGAATTTTTTTAAACAATAAACATAGAGTCTATTCTCGTTGTGAGAACGTCTTGTTGCTATGCTAAAGGAATAAACGCAAATTTAATATGGCTTCCTCCTGTTTTATGTAAAAATGAAATTTTATAACTTGGATAAATATTCAATCTTGTGTTTTATTATCTATATTGTTAATGGTTTATTTTGTCTATTCCGTAATAATAATAGAAACATTAATAAAACGATTTTAGATATATCTCCAGCAACGCACCGAGGCTAATTTGCATAAAACATGCAGAGTCTGTCTTGTGTGCATGCTGCACGGACAATTCCATGCATGCACCCATGACGCAATATGACAATACAAACTACGGAGCTATTATTGCTTAGCTTTAAGTACTACCAAATCTTGATTAACATTTTTAATGGTAGAAAAAGATATTTTTTATGAGTTTATAAATTATGCTTTATTTACAAAAAAAAGGATATATTTGGTCTAAATTTAGTACATTATTCATTATTTCTGTAAGGACATATATTAATTTCAGTTTAAAGTAGAAAATATAGAATTAAATTTAATTTAAGTTATTTTTAACTTATTGCCGGGTTGATTAAGTTAAAATCAAAATATATATGTACCTAATCTTTTTAATTTTGGTGTTAATAAATTGTCAATTAAAACGAATTATTAAAATTTATGTCTTGTTAATAATTATTTTAAAATCATGACAGTTTATAATATAAAAGTATAGAGTCAGTAAGTTATATTTAAAAAAAAACCATATGAGTTTATATAAGTAAATAATGAATATTTATAAAAACTAATTTCCGTTTATATCGTGTCGGATACTTCCAAGTATAAAATTCCCAAAATTACGTTAAGTTCCAATTTTATGAAATGTACGATAATCAATTATAAAATTATTATTACTATAATTATAAAACTACATTACTGACAAAAACTTTTCAAATATAACTTAGTTTATAGTTATCTGGGTCACAAATTTTTAACCATAACCAGGATAAAACTCGTAACTGGTGAATAGGGAACGAATTGAGAATCAGTTTAAGATTCAATAAGACTGTTATTATAAAAGTCAGTCAGGCCTAGTGGTTAAAAGGCCCGCCTCTTATGCATGAGAGCGCGGGTTCGATCCTGGCCCGGGCAAGTACCAATGTGATTTCTCCGAGTCATACGTACTTTCTAGGCGTATTTAGACATCACTGGTTAATGCATTCCCAAAGAGGGTTGATGTCAGGCAGGCGGCCGGTCGTAAAGACAAATAGCCAAAACTATCCATAACATGTAAGGCAGACCCTGGCTATAGGTGTGAAATTACCAGGTAGAAGAAGAAGAAGACTGTTATTATGACTCCAATCGATAATATGCTGTAGCCTGTAGGTATTCTTAGTGTACAACATTGTATTATGTATGATGATGTTAAATACAATGTATTATAAAGCTCACACGATTAAATCATAATCTGTCAGTGGGGAGAGATCAGAGATGTTACAAGTTGTCGTTACGGTCAGGGACTACAGACTTGTGATGCAAAAAACATAACGTCTTTTACTAACATGTCGCGACTCGCGTGTTCTTAAACTACTGAAATAATTCGACTGTTTTTTATATACCTACTTCAAAACAGTCATAATAATATTTGAACTCTGAAGTTACTTTCAACTCTTTAAAATCTTAACAGATTTCTTTTTATATCAATGGAATGGATACATTAGGGAATTAAATATAAAGTTTTTGATAATTAGATATAGATCTTCGAGTGTTTAGTATCGAATAACAAGTTTGCTTTTAATTTTAAATGTGAATCGTCTTTAATATAAATATTCGAATGACCTGTATAGCTTCGTTTGTGTTTCGTGAACAATGAATGAGAGCTTCATATATCTGTAATATTCGTTTTCACTTATAGTCAGATTAAAGCCGTCGAAGAACAATAAATCGGTAACCTCCTGTACGAGGCGCGAGCGGCGAGTGTCACCTCGCACATACATTGAAAAGGGAAAAAAATAGGATGGCGGATTCTGTGCGCGTCGATGTGATATTGTACCTTTTTTACACAAACACCGACTGGGGTGTCAAAGCGATGGACTTTATTAAATAACTGACTGTAAAGCTTAAAACTACGTTCAACATTCTCGTTTGAAAACACGCTCAATAAACTATTGAGAAGTGCTTACACAATGGGTACTATATATAAATAAATAAAATTGAGATCTCTCTTTGTGACTGTAAAACAACGGATTTTTAGTAAACGGATATGAATATTCGCTAAATATATCAAATAACACGTTTTGCATATCATGTCTGCCTGTTAGTTTCGGCAGATGTCTGAAATAATAAAGACTAACATTAAAAACTTTTATTTTAGAAATTTTATTTATACATATAAATAAAAAAAGCACGGACAGCAGCATAAAAAAAAGAAGCAGAGTCTTAAAAAGAGACACACAAATTAAAATCTAGATTTAGATACGACAAAATAAATAAGTATTTTTTGTTTCCATTTAAGATATTTCACATTGCACACCTACTAATGTAATAAATGTCTGTATGGCGTTAAATCTGGCGTAGAATGAAACTGGTGAATATGTAAAAATTGTGAGGATTCTTGTAATGTTATATTATAATACATCAACTTCTCCCCGGTCTCGTCTACCTGAGAATGAGCCGCCGACTGCCGAGCGCCGATACAGGTCACCATTGTGACAGACTACTACATAATATAAACTATTTGAACACGTGTAGATTTTTTCTGTCGTTCCCATAACTTAGCCTCAGTTAAAGCTTGAATAGTTTACTATATTATCATACGGATTATTGACCCAAATCTTATTTTTTTCAAATAACTCGTAAGTTTTAGTAAATCAAAGAAGAATGAGCGATTAAAGCTCAAGGGAATCCAGGTTGGAGTGTGTTAGTTCATATCTCTGTGAAACATGTTAACTGACGTATTTAAAGTCCATTTTAGTTTCAAATATCAAAAGAACCGTTCCGAAAAATGTTTTGTGAAATCCAGTGAACACTACGCTTCAATATTTTTAATATTCAAGTAACGTGCAGTTACATATTTTACGTTCAAAAATATTTCCTCCGGCTATTTGTTCTTTCATATTTATTTCAGTTATATACCAAGCTGTACAAATAATAAAGAGAAAACGAAATATGTTTCACATGAAAATAAAAAATTCAAAACTATGTACCCACGCTCTTAATTTTATTAAAGGGAATTATAATTGTAATAAAAGAATAATGATTTCTATGCCGTCTGTTGTTACAATGTCTTTCTTTCATCTTGAACACTGAACACGAAGCTTAAGAACGTTAACTTCGCCTTTTCTGAACTCAATATCGAATAGCTTCAAACGAATTACGCATTTGAAGGAAAGAAAAGAAATTAACACAATAAAAAAAATTGATCTAATTTAAGTGTTGAATTATTTGATCTTTCAAAGGCTTCTTGGGAGTCAATCAACATCCGAGCATAAACAAAGCCGTAAAAATTGTTTTGTATTCATCTGTGTAAGACAAGCTCTTGGCTCTATCCTGTAGCATTCCTTGCCAAGTCAGCGGCGTGTGGACGCCAACATTGGAAGGCTTTATTCGATTGCCTCCCCTAGTTACAAGGGCTATATGGAATTCAATGTCATACAAACATTGCTATTATATATTTATTTGTATATAAGTAGATATAATTCGAATTGATTTCAAGTTAGGAATAATATGTAGGTAGATACATATTGTTATTTTTGACTACAAACTTAATATTTAGAGCTAAAATTGTCAATTTACGCATTAAAAGAACTTTAGTGTCTTAATTTTACTGTATCTTGGGATTGACGTGGTTATTGAAATAGCAAAATGAGTGGTGTTTGTTCTTCAGTTAGCATCAAGTCTTTTCTAAGAACATCTCTATTAAAAACCAAAGAAAATGTATTTAAATGCACGGCCAAACTTGTAAAAATGAGCTACAGAAATTTGTTTTTAGAGACGCAAAATAATAGGCAATAAATGAAATATATTTTTTCTTTGTTCTTAACGTTTCAAGCTTCGACGCTTTAATATTTTAGAGCATTTTAAAATTACATTAAGTATAAAATAACAATTTTTGATAATGGTGAAAGATAAGTTTTTTTTTGTAAAAAAATATACACGAAACAATGTTATATTAATAATTAGATACATTAATTTTCGTCTAATTATTCATAAGAACATTTTATAAAGCTCGACATAAATATTAGTATAATCGTTTTATTATAAACTAGTTTTTGTACGTGACTTTGTCTGCCTTAGTTTCAAAGTTAGATGTATAGCTGACGGGGCGAACTCTGTTCTTCGTTAAAGGCAGTAAATAAGAAGATTATGGATTTCATCATATTTTTCGATCGTATTAAAAGTATCCTATGTTCTTTTCCTTGTTCTAAGTTATCTCTTCACTAATTTTCAGTGTATCACGTAAAGCCGTTCTTAAGCTATAAATAGTTTAACACGAGTTTCTTTTATTTATAAACATATAGATATATTGCTTTAAATTGATATAATACTTTAATAAGTTCAA